TTAAATGGGAACACATATTTATAATTTAATAAAATGTTTGGATTTTTAATTCAATAGTATATGGCATTTGAATTTTTATTATAACTTTATTAGTTTATTAGATATAGACATTTAAAGTTTCAAATTTTTTAATTAATATACATGTATAAAACACAAGGGATTACAAATACAGGTAGCTAATTGGTTTTTTATGACATTGCTGTCAATACTTTTTGTATTGCCTATGGCATAACTGACATTTTATTACATTCCAAATGTGTTCACATTTAAAAAAACAAAATTGACACCCTTACTAGGCATAAGGGATGAACCTAAAAAGTAATACATTGTTAATAATTCAAGAATAATTTGTAACTAAAGATAACCAAAAAAAAAAAATGTTTAAATTATTATTAATCTGTAAGTAATTGAGTGGGTTATGATAAAAAAAATCATCCTGTATATATATTCTAATTACTATTAAAATTTATATATTAATACGATTTCCGTATCGTCATTTTTCGTCACCTCCTCCACATTTCGGTAGTGGGCAATTCGCGCGCCTGCTGCTTTTTTTGAATGTGGTAGTTGTTTCTCAGACTCCCTCTCCGGAATCAAAACCTGATTTCCCGTTACAACCATGATATTGATAGTAACTACTATCATAACATGAAACTAAAAATTGAAAAATAAATATAGTTTTTTTAACAATATTTTTGACGATAACTTACAAATTGATTTCAGCCACCTGATTACGACACAATATTTGACGATTCATTTTTACAAGTTATAAGTACTATTAATAGTGATATCAAATCATTTGTCTGTAGAAAAAATCAAATATTTATTAATTATTCGTTTATAAATAAAGATGACATAAAGTTGTTATCAAGATCTTGTAAAGATGATTACGAGTGTAGACAAAAAAAAAAATCAAGCTTAAACAAATTAAAAAAAGAATTAGAGTCGTTAGAGCGTATTCACACATTTTTATGTCTTCAAATTTTAGAAGTGTTAAAAAATGATATTAGGATAAAAAATTTAAATCCCAATCATACATTTAAAATAAAGTTTCTACATGTATATGAATACGAAGTTAGGATGATTTCATTTTTTATTTATGGCAAGTTTGTTGTTAATCCTTGGCAATATGATTTTGCAAAACGACTTATTGATATAATAAGACTCGAAAGACAAAATAAGGATACATTTGATGTCAGTTTAAATTACTTAAATGATTCTGCATTACTATCTTCAATGAATAAATTTTGCGATAATTGTAAATTAAACAATGAATTTTTCAAATCAATTATTTCATTCACATTTAGTACTTTCAAAGGAGAAAGTGGAAAATTTTTAAATCAAGAAAAATTAAAAAAACATATAAAAGATTTTTTGTCAAAGACAAAAATTTCTTGTGTAACAAAAATGAACATAAGTTCTTATACACATATTAAAAAAGGTAATCAACATGATGTACTCTTAATATTTTTAGAATAAAAACTTTCTTAAATGTTAGTAAAAGAAGTTTAATTAACATAAAAATTAATAATATTACGATTGACATTTGCAACAAATATTACTTAGTTATAAATTACTAAGCACTGTATAAATAAAACTATCCCAAACCCAAAAATTTGCAAGCATGCACCTGATTGTTTGGCATTTCATCTGGTTTTTACGGGTNGCACCTGATTGTTTGGAATTTCATCTGGTTTTTACGGGTAGATTAAAATTCCTGGTAGGTTTTTTATTCAAGAAAATTTCAACCACCAAATTAGTGTTCTTCTGTGAATATCATTTTATGAGCGTTCATCGTTTCCGCCAAATCTGATTAAGGTACGATTTTCGTTTCTNTTTTGTAATTATCCACCAATTTCTTAGAATTAAACACTATCTACTGATTTGCATCGAAGCGTTTCTTATGATAGTGATTTTAATCACTGTCAGATTAAATCTATACTGGACCCAACTATGCAACATCCCCACTATGCCGCGACTCCACTGTGCTGGGTTTTTTTTTATTGTTATTAGATAGCAGTGCATTGATAATTGTGAATCATTTCATTCATATTTTAATGAACAATTTTTTAAGACGCATCCTTCTATTAATATATTTTTTTTTAATTTTTGTAAAAAATATTTAGTCTTATAATTGCATTAAAATATATAGTTTTGATAATGCAGTCTCAAAAAGCGTACGGAATAAAATTGATATCAGTTTCAGAAAAACAAAAGAGACAAGTGATAAATTTAATAACAATGAAATTAGTTTTCAACAACTATCGAAAAATGTATAGATCATAGATCTATTTTTTATTATATTATTAAAGGTATTAGATATTTTTTAAGCTTATTGTTAATGTTTGAATTCTATTTCAATGTTTTGATGACTTTTTATTTTCTTATAAACTATATTTTTATTATTCATTATTTTCTATAAGAATTTATTTACCTTAGGTAAGACGTCATATTTTCTTTATAAAGTTATTCTTAAGTGATAAAATAAGTAATTATTCAAAACGACGTTACCATATTTAGAGGTGGTTAAGGGGTTCAAAAATTCTCGGAGGCGAATGTCATTTGATAGCGATAGGACAAAAAATTACTTTATTTAGCTCATTAATACCCCACGCAAAAATCTAAAATACAGGCCTGAACGTAACATTCAATAAAAGCCAAACAATTTGGTACTAGAAGCTACCTGACCTGGCCGTATGTTAAAACCGATACTGGATCGTCATGATGAACCATGCATCAAACTAAATGGTTCTCAAATTTTTTAGTTGATAGACAGGTAGAGGATTAGTTTGGCGGAAACGAAAAACCGACCTTATTCAGGTTTGGCGGAAACGATAATCTCCCCATTTTATCTTGACGCAATACTGCGATTTTTATTTTATTTTGTCTGTTGTCAGTTTTTCTCAATTCTTACCGAATCGATTTTTTTTAACGATACATCAAAAGATCACCAATCGTATGTAATAGAAGATATATTCATCAAAAATTGATATAATTCCCTCGTTTCCCGTAGATTGTAGAAATTTCCCTAAAAATTACTATTTTTTAAAAAAAAGTAAATTTCGACATTTTTTAAACTTTTTTTTCTTAAAGCTGTCATAACTTTTTGAAAAATGGATGGATCATAAATAATTAATTTTTGTAAATACCTTAGGTATTTACCTTTTATTAGGTAAAAATTTTTTCGAAAATCTGAGCTTTTATCAATCTTTAGGGTAGATTAAAAGTAGCAATTTGATATAAGAAATAAAATTTTCTAGTTAATTTTTGATAATGTTCCGGAAATACTAAAAGTTTCAAATATATGTTAAATTAAAGTATTTTTTGCATAGTTTAAGTTAAACAGTTTTTCGATGATTTATATATATATATATTTGAATTTGTTATTAGCATTTAAAATAAAAATATAAACAACATTACTCTTTTAGTTTTTTTTTTCCAATTAACCGTTCGTCTGTTACAGCTTGTTAAAGTTAAATGATTTTGTACTAAATTTTTATTAATTTACTGTTTTGAATACAGGAGTCACTCATTTTCTATAGTATAACATAAACTAATTTAACTTGATTCAGTTTATGACGTTACGCTACCACTTTTAATACGAATCCGTCAACAAAAATAAAGAGTATTTTATGTAAGCAATGATTACGATAACATTATCGTAGTATTCGATTATTAAGAGTCACTATACTACGCATAGAGTTGGGTTTTTCAAAGAAATTGATTTTTCAATATTACAATTAGTATCACAAACCAATAGACTGTACTATTAATAATATAGTTAAGGTCCTATTTGAATCTATTCTTATTATCTTTCAATTAGTGTGTGGTAAATTATTATTGCTTACTTATATGACACATATATATATATATGTCTTGGTCAATAAAAATTAGTTTATATGAAAAATAGTGACTTCTATATTCAAAATAGTAAATTAATAGAAATTTAGTACAAAATCATTTAACTTTAACAAGCTGTAACAAACGAACGGTTAATGAGAAAAAATAAATTATAAGAGCAAAGTTGTTTATATTTTTATTTTAAATCATAATAAAAAATTCAAAATAAGGGTTCCCATTTAAGAAAAATCAAGTTAATGTTTTTTAACCTTGAAGGGATGAAAAAAATTATGTTTTTACTACATATTTTTGTAGAGTTTTTTGAATCAAATTAAACACTATCTACAGATTTGCATCGAAGCGTTTTTTATGATAGTGAATTTAATCACTGTCAGATATCATTATACTTGTCTTCATTGTTTCGCAACCCCATTGTGCTAGGTATTTTTTTATTTCTTTCATCAGGTTTTTAATGAACTAAATAATGCATCTGTGCTATAGTCCGGCTAATCTTTAATAATATTTTCATTTTATTTACTATCATGTATGCTACTTACATATTGATTACCATGTTAAATTTTTAGGGGCTCAATGGTAATACGGAGCTTTACTATAATTTCTCTTAATGATTTCTTTTTTGGTTTGTAATTGAGCCACAATATTTTAATCAATTAAAAATTGATTATTTTGAGTAATTATATTTTAATACAAGTCTATAATTAAAAAAAAACGTTGATATAGCAACTTGACCTAAATAACTGTAATGATATAACTAACACATTTCTGCTGTAATCAAAATCATTTTGCGTTACACAATATTTGTAATGAAATACGTTCAAATTCAACACTTCACAACAGAACATTGCTTTGAATTTCTTTTCATTAATTAAATCACAGCTTAATTTCAAACAAACTTTAATTATTATAAATTAACTAATATAAATATTATTTTTCTATTTTCTTTGTATTAATCTCATCAATTAAACTTTAACTGTTATTTAATTTCATTAATTTTTTATTCATATTAAGAATAGTGGAGCAGCTGATCAAAAGGAAGTGATTATCGATGATAAAGACTACAAAAATATGAAAAAAGTTTTTCTACAAAGTTTAAAATTAAATAAATATGACGATAAAATATTTAAGAAAAACANTATAGTTATGTTGAGCAATATGGCATAGTTAATGAGCTGAAAGCAATACAACATTTTGAGAAGAAAATGGACGTAAAGATTGAACCGTGCAGTGCATTTATTGATAAAAACATTAACTATTTAACAGCAAAACCAGATGGTATAATTGGAGATGATGGCATTGTTGAAATAAAATGTCCAGTTAATGCCCAATATTTTACTCCCGAAAAAGCTATTAAAGATAAAGTGATAAAATATCTATATTACAATGAAAATGAAGAACTCATACTAAAACATACTTCTGATACTTTTTATCAAATACAAGGAGAATTACATATTACACAGAGGCAGTATTGNACTTTTTATCAAATACAAGGAGAATTACATATTACACAGAGGCAGTATTGTTATTTAATTATTTGGACACCAAAAGGTAATAAAAATAAAATAATAATAAATAATAAAATACAACGTAGATTTTTTTTAATTTTTCTAAAATTTTATTTTTTCTTAGATTTTGATTTTGTTTTCATAAAAAGTGTAAAGAAAATTTAATACACAGTTTCTATTTTTATGCTATTAGCTTACATAAGATTAACAATTACAACAAACAAAAAACGGTAGCACAGTGGGGTCGCAGCATAATATGGACGTGTCATAGTTGAGACAAGTATAAATGATATCTGACAGTGATTAAAATCACTATCATTAGAAACACTTCGAAGCAAATCTGTAGATAGTGTTTAATTTTAAGAGATTGGTAGATTATTACAAAAGCAACCATGACTCTTATTCCCTTAATTTTATCCTGATTTATAATTATAATACATGAATACATAATAATTAAAGTAATTAAATTTAATATGAAATTGATATTCAATAATATTAATGTCAACCTTATACCCAATACATTTTTCTATATTCTCTTTTTGAATTTTCCTGATTTTAATAATAACATTTTTATTATATTTTTGTTACACTGATTCTGATGTAATATTTTTTCTGCAAATCACTTATCGTGTCCGGCGTAGCCGGGTACCCTTACCGGAATCAGTGGCCTACTTATGATAATGGCTCGAAGACGCTTACGCGCCAAAGGCGCATAAGGCTCATAGACCCCTGGGTCTGGAGTGGAGCCCCAGCTAGGCGGAGCCTATTTACTGTAAAATTTCATACAAAAATATTTTTACTATTAAATGCTATTATTTAACTTTTTTAGGTATAATCAATTGTAAAATTCTTCGAGATGACAAGTTTTGGAACGATTATATGGAACCAAAACTTATTTACTTTTACGAAGACATTATGTTACCGGAAATATTAAATATTCATTTAACTAAGAATCTAAATATTACGGATATTTAGAAAAAATATAATAAATTATTATACATTCTAATTTTAATTGGAATCAACAAATTATTGTAAAAATATATTATTCCTAAATAATGAAATAGCATCTATTTAATTATATCACCTTGTCAAGATTAAAAAATGTAGGGATGAGGCAAAACAGTATACAGAGTGTACAGTAAGTCAGGAAACGGGTTTCTATTGTTCTCATTGTTTGTAAAACAATAAATTGTTCAAAACCATAAATACTACAATTAGTTTATACCTATTGTGATATCATTTTTGAAGCTATGCTTCTTATGGCGGGCTCTATNGTTTTCATTGTTTGTAACAATGAGAACAATAGAAACCCGTTTCCTGACTTACTGAACACCCTGTAGATCAATATATGATTATGATGAACATAAGTGTCAAAAAAAGGTTTTCATGAAAAAATGTTAGAAGATTGTTAGGTCAAAATTTATTTAGAAATTTTCAAAACCATAAATACTACAATTAGTTTATACCTATTGTGATATCATTTTTGAAGCTATGCTTCTTATGGCGGGCTCTATGGACTATGACCGAAAAAAAAACGTTATGCGGTCGCCGTTATGCGTTGCTATGGTATGGTTGGTGAGGGGGCACGTCGATATTGGACCTCCCCCCTCGACCGCACACGAGGGTCACTATCAATGTAGTTATCGCGCGTTTCGCATTATTTATTTCTTGCCCACGTTACTTATCGATAATATCAAAATTTTAATAACTATAACTAGTCGCGATAAATAATGAGAAATGTTAATATTTTTTGTTATCATTGTTATCATGTTATATATTAATTTTATGTGATTAACCTACTTATGTTATAGACGGTTCTAATAATCTAGAAATAAAACGAAATTTATCAATATTTGATAATTATTGATATGCTTAGCAACAATTTAATAACATGCCATTAAATGATGCCTTCATGCAAGAAGAGTTTAAAATACGGAAAAAAATCAGACGAAATAATGGATCTAGTGAGTAATAACTGCACAATCATCAAATGAAGAATTGAATAAGTAAGTTTTTTTTAAATTGTAAATTCATATTATTATCATTTTATATGACTTTCACTTTTAGCCAATAACAAGAGTTTAATGAGAAAAAAAAA